AAAAACTTCTAACCTTAACCCTAGAACTCTAATTATCGGACTTAATTTTTCTCAGTAGATAATTTTCCCAATTATCAATTCTAATTATCTTCTCCAATAATCCTTGTACACTGCTCTATATTAGCATAACTAATAAAGATAACACCAACACAATTAATTTCCATATTAATTTACAACAATTTACCTCCGACAATTGGGAGATCTCACTCAAAACCCACCAAGGCATACGGCAGCGCCTGTCTCCCCAACCAAACCCTTGAGAGCCCATAGTTATATATAGAGTTGCATCAATCATGTTTTACAATAACAGTGTAATATATGTGAAACAACATTAAAACTAAACTTGAACAAAATGTAATATATGTGAAACCGCATTAGAACTAGACTTGTACTTTTAAGAAATGGCCATAGGAAGTACATAAAATCCATATTATGAAATTTGATTCTACTGTCCAATGCTTATTAGTCTCTATGATATTTCAATAAATGCCTCTTGTTCCTTTGTCCAACTAAATTCATGGTTCATCAAATTTGTGCCTCTTCACACAACATTCCACTCCACTTATTTTGGGCTTTGCCGTTTTTTTTTTTTTTTTAACCATCTGATGAGGTTTATACAGATATCTCTGAAAGATATAGAAAATAAATTACATCATTCAGAAATAACAAAAGTAAATCACATCATTCTAGTGGGGTGTTTATTCCTCACTTTTGCTTTCTCTTTTCTGCTTTATTCCCCACTGCTTTTCTGCTTTTCTTGATCTCTGCACCTTTGTTGCTTTTGCCTTGCATGAACTGACGAATATGACTCATTGGTGACAGCTTGCGCCTCTTTTGCTTTTGTCTTTTTCTTTTCTGTAAAGGAAAAGAGACTTCGGGTTTGGGGAATCTGTGAAAGAAAAAGAGAGAGCTTTTCTGGATCTGTAAATGATAATGCAGAGGTCGGATCTGACGGTGATGGCATAGTCGACGTCGGCGGTGTGCGGGAGGAAAATAGCTTCAAGTTAGAAGCAAGAAATAGTTGTTTCACCAAGGAGCTACGTGCCGGTCTAGCTACGTTCCTCACCATGGCCTACATCATCTCTGTCAACGCCACCATCCTCACGGACTCAGGTAGCACGTGCTTCATTGCCGACTACTCTACCATGGCGAACCAAACTGTCACCCCAGATTGCATGATCATTTCCAACGAAGGATACCAAAACTGCCTTGCAAAGACCAAGAGTGACCTCATTGTTGGCATAATTTTATCAGCCATGATTGGGTCGATTGCTATGGGCGTTTTGGCCAATCTACCCTTGGGGTTAGCACCGCGTTTCTGGATAACCCTCTGTTATGCGGGTTTCCGCATTAGAAACTTTGTAAAAAAAAAAAATCGGAACAGAGCTCTGCGGATAGTCTGAATTCAAGATCAGGATCGAAAAATAGTCCAGTAAAGGGTCTGAGTCCGGGTCTGATTATCCCAATCTCGGTGGCGGATATGGACAGAGCAAATTTGGTGGCAACGAGAACCGCCAAGAACTAGGATTCGAATTCGGATTGCGATCTGGACCACTCGAGCTTTCCTCAGGGCGGCGATCGCGTGGGGCTGAGTTATGCGAAGAGATCTAGGAGGCGGTGGAGTCATCATGGTCGAAGGAGCAGAGGTCGACGCTGGCGGAGGCGTGGGAGAAGAGGCTGAAGTTCGACTCTAAGGCGAAGATTACGGAGTCAGGGTTTGGGTCGTAGACTCGGAAACCCGGTCTCTGCTCCTGCATTTTTCAGAATACCAAATTTATAGAGTTCTTTGAAGATCTGGAGATCTGGAGCACCTTGGAGATCATGGACGAGTCAACTCGATGACTCGACGACTTCACGATCAGCTTCTGCTTGAGCAAAATTAGGGCTTGGGTCGGGTCGGTGAAGATGGGCTTGCATCATCGATATATATCCCAATCTATCTCAGGTTAAATAAAAGAGACACCCTCCTTCGAATAATCTCCTGAATCTGCTCCAGCGACAAAACAGATGCAGCACCATCAAAGTTGGCGTTTTCCATCTGCTGATGTAACTTCTCGAGGATTGCAGATTGATCATCCTTGGGAAATTTACGCATGTGCTTTAGCATCTCCAGTTCCTGTAATTGTTTTTTACTGTGCATCTTTTCAGCAAATTTCTCTGCTCCAAGCTCAGCTTCGTCACATGCCATCTCCTCCCTTGCAATGAATTTATAAAACTGAATCATCACATCCTGATCATTCTCGTATTCAACATTCACCTTTCCCAAGCACGATAGGCCAGATCTTGGATCAATCCCCATCTCCAAAAATATCTCATCCTGGATCGCAGTAGTTACAGCTATAGCTTCCTGCTTGTCCTCAACACCATCTACGATTCTTTTCTTCACCTCAGGCTGAAATGTGAGGAAAGAGAATCGATCGAAAAGATGAAGCAGCTGTTCCCTCGACAGCACTTCGGAAAGCACCCGTTGAGACTGAAAATATTGGAAACAAATGCTAATGGATGAAAAAAGAAAGTAACTCAGAGCTAGTGAATGTTTTTTCTGGAAAAATCCAGTAAGGTTTGTGGGTTTTTGCAGATTCACAGTGGATGTGAAAAAATGAAAGAGAACCGACACAACTTTTCGTATCGATTCCCACAGACGACGCCAAATGTTGATGCACAAAACCGGAGGTCTTGGAACAATGTAAATCCGACCGTGAATCTGCAAGAAATGTAAATAACACAAGATTTATCGTGGTTCACCCCAAGGTTTGGGCTACATCCACACTGATTATGTATTTATGAGGGAGTGAAAACCTCTGTAATGTGAGAGGGGATGTGAGAGGATGAGAGAGCTTAAGGCCTAAGAATTGGCCTCTCCCAATTGTGAGGGTGAGGGGTCCTTTTATAGAATAAGGACTTCTCACTTATTACATATTTGCCCCTTCCTTTATTACATAATTACATTTAAGTTCCTCGAGTATTTATACAAGGTCTAAATACGAGGCCCTAAATATGGTATAAACAAAGTTTGTTATAGATAACGCTGCAAAAAAATAAAAATCAAACAAAATCAAACACATTATTTCTGAAACTATATGAAAATTTTACACTGTTTCTTAAATTGCAGAAAACACAAAGTATATGTAGAACTAGAAATGTTGTAAATTTTTTTACTTACGAAGTTGATTTCTGTTGTGCACATGTCCTGTCTTCATTGATTTGGAATTCAAATGCACTTGTGATGGAATTAATTTTCTTCATTGTGTTTTAAGCTGAATCCATAAGATTTGCATCACTCCTTGTTGATTCTCTTGCCTTATCAAGCCAATATTGGACGAACTTGCCTTGAATAAAATCGTAGAGATCAATAATATACTTGTTTTTCAGTAAATATGATAGAGTTTTTTAGGGATTGTTTGTTGCTTTCCTTACCATTATTGTGCAATTTTCCCAGTAGCAATCAAACTCCAGATCTTCATTTATCAACTTTATCGTAGGGAATTGTAATGGGTCATTTATGTAGTACTAGTGTCCAAAAAACTACCAAGGAAAAGTGGTTGTAATGAAACAATGGGAAGAAAATCTTTGATACTTTTCCATATTGGTCCATCAATTGGTTGTAGAGTCTTTCCTTTTTTTGCATAGTTGCTTTAATGCTTTGTTCATTTATGTTTTGTTGGTTTAATGAAAATCAAGTTTAGTAAAGAATGATTCATGAAATTAATATATAGTTTGATATGCATGAAACATCATAATCACATATTTTATAAGTTCATATAACTACATACACATAACATTAGTTGTATTATTTTTTAACTTTATAATGCATACAGTTGATTGAAAAGTTATAGGTTGGAAAACTATTTATAAACTTACAAATATTGTTGTGGAGACATAGAAGTTCATTTATTTTCCTTGGTGTTCTCTTTTTCTCTTTTCATGTAGCAAAAAGAGTCAACTATTTGAGTTGATATAGGTCCGTTTGCCATCAAACTGTGCAAATCTTCTTTCAACACCATTATTCGGTAATAGTTGAAATCTGTACTTTCTGTTGTCCAGTATTCATTGTTGCAGAAAAGTGAAAAAAAATTAGATATATAATAAGTTGGTATTGTTATACAAGGAAAGTTTTTTTGTATACTAAATGTTGATTTAAGAGCGTTCATAGTACTTAAGTGTTCTCTGTTAAGCTGACCTGAATTAATCTGCTGCTGTCATCTGGTTCAGCATCTTGTACACTTGAAGTTGGGTCCATTTCATACCGTTGTCTATGTGATTTGTTGGTGGAAAGTCATTCAGCTGTTGATAGGAGCATATTTATGCGACTTAGTTAGCTTGTTTTCTTGCATTTTCTTAGTTAGTTCTTACTTATTCTAGTGTTTTGACCTATTTTCGTGTGTTTGTAGGTCCAAATGACAAAGTTGGCAAGAAAGTGCAATTTGAAGCATTTTGAGGCAGTTTTGGGCATCAAATGGATAGCTTATGAATGGAGCAAGATGGATGGACGAATTTGAAGTTCAAGAGGCTTAGAATGTGCTGAAAAGATGAAGGAAATAAATTCAAGTCAAAGAAGATAAGGAATTAGCTCAAAAGAATGAACATTATCCAAAACCTTATCCAACCTTATCTTATCTTATCCTTGCCGAATTTAGCTTTATCCTATCTTATCTTATCTAAATTAGTTTGTACCTTAAATCTAGCTGTAAGAGGACCTAAATATCTGATTTCTAGAAGGTATATCCTTTCCCTACATTTATGCTGCACCTTTATGTTCTAGAAACACCTAAATTGGTTCCGTGAGCACCCTTTCTAGAAGGTCCTATAAATCTGGCGTTTTTCCTTGTTCTAGAAGCCTAAAATCTGCTAGGAAACCTTAATCCTTTTCCTTTTGGATTTCTGCCAAACCCTAGTCCTTTTCCTCAAGGATTGTGCAATCCAAATCCTTAGGGATTGTGCCATGAATTTCATCCTATAAATACACATCCTTGCCGCATAAATCAAACCACCCACGCCCTCATACATTCAGATATAATTGAGAGATTTCAGAGAGTTCAAAAGGCTCAATTGCGTGGAGGAAGGAGAAGGAGAAGTTTGTGGTGTGACTTGCAATCCAAGGGAGAGTTCGAAATCTGCCATTGGAATTGCTGGGGCGTTCTTGGTTCTTTCTATCCTTAGATTTGTTTCAATGTTGCTTTTAATTTGGTTTTATATTTTTAAAGACATGAGGAACTAATTTCTTTTTAGTTGGAGGTGAATTCGAAGCCATGATTATATGTTTATATGATTATACATTAGTTATTGACTCTTTGATGTGATTGCTTATCTAAGTTTATTAAAACTTGTTGTGTATGTTAATTGAGGTCGACACTTATTTCATGCAGAATTTGATGCTAGAGTATAAGGGAGTTTCACCTAATTGTTATGAACTTATATTCACAAGTAGTAACAGTTGCTAGTCACAATCGTGTTAGGTAAATCCTAGGCAAGAGTAACATGCTTTTCATAGTTATGAATGCCTCGTCTATGCTTATGATTTCCATTGAACTTTAATATCTTTGAAAATGTCTCTATCAATGCGTATTCATGGTTGAGGACTTGATAAGAATAATTTGGTTGTGATGGCCGTTATCCATTCAATTCAATGAATCTAGGGAAATCTGAGAATCAATTGGTGCAATCTAATTAATTCGAGGCATTGTCATTCATGGTTTAAAGGAATAATAATTGGGAATTGGTTTGTTTGCATATATCATGTGTGGAGAAGGATCCTCTAACTAGCTTTTCACCCTTTTCAATTCACTAAATTTGTTTTCTTAAAGTGTTTTATGCAAAGTTTCTGTTTTAAGTTTTAATTTCGTCAAAACAAAATCCCTCTTTCTTAAGTTTATGTTTTATAGAATCAAAACCTATTTTCTTTTAGTCTTTTGAAGTAAGTTCTTTTATTCGTCCAAATTTGTTAGTTGAAGTTGAGTCTTTTTATGAGTTCTTTTTAGTGTTTTGAGTTTTTGAATTTAGAGTCTAGTTAATTTGAGTTTTTTTGTGTTTGATTAGCATACTAGTTTCCCCGGTCTAGAACGATCCCTACTTAATCTTCACTACAATTGTCATCAAATAGGGGAGTGTGTGTCGAGATAATTTTTCCTGTTTTTGATGGTTGTTTTACAGACTTTGTCTCCCGATTGGGTTTTGTACTTCCGAGGTTGTTTTTGCCTTGCACACCATTCTTCTCGAGAGCATCATTGTCTTTATAATTTTAGTGTCTAATTCCTGATTTGTTACTTTTGCCATCAATGTCACAATTTTCTCCCAGAATGTTTGTTGTCTATCATCATGTTCAGTTGTTTGTTGGGTTCCCTCATTATGGACCGTGCCTTCTTGATTTTGTTGCTTGTTTGATTCGGAAACATCATTGGCTTTTTCTTTGTTTTTTTTGTCTTAGTCACTGTTTATTGTTGCAGAGTTTGAAAGTTTTTCTTCTACCTCTTTGATTCTTTGATGCATCTTCATTCTTTTCTTTAACTTCCTTTTTTTTTTTGTCTTTGTTGTGGTTGTTTTTGTGCCCCTTTTTTTGTGTGCTTTGCGTTGGTTCTACAAAATGTCTTCTTCGGTAACGTTTCCAATTTATAGATAAATGGTTTCTTTCTTTGTACGTGATATCTTTTTTGTTTTTCCAACCATTTTCTTTTGTTGCGTCATTTTGGTGGTGGTTGATATGATTGGTTTTGGTTGAGCTTGACATTTGGAGTTTTACGTTAACTAAGACCTTCTGTAAAAACAGTGATTTTTAAATGCAAGCTTCATGACCAATAAAAAATAAATACGAGGACACACTATTTTGTATAAATATCAATTACTTTTATAACTAGACTAAACTTTATATTTTCTTATAGATGAACATAGTGCAAATAGAAGAGTACAAAAGGACAGCTGTTAAATAACTATTTCTTAAATTGAAGCTAAATTGCAAACTATTTATGAAAGTGAAGATATTTTTTCAAACTATTTTTGAAACTAAAGATATTGTTGAAGGAATATTTTGTGAAAACATGTTCATTTAAGCAACATCAATAAGCATGCAATTAACAATTAAAGGCGGAATCATGCTAGCATGCACTTAAAAAAAACCTTAACCAAGAAAATTCCAAGCCTAATGTAGATTGTGTGAAACTTAAACTCAAAACAAGTGAGTTGAAATTGTACCTTTGGTAGATTCCTCTTTTTGCAAGCAAGGCTAATCACCCAAAGAGAAGGGCCTTCAATCCTTGCATAATAAATCATGGATTTGGATGGATGAATAGTTTCTCCAAGTTCCCAAATAGGGAACTCTAAGTATCTTCACCAAGGTTAGATTGGAGAAGAAATGATACCCTGGAGAGTGTGGATTGCAAGAGCACCCAAGGTGGCCGACCTCTTTAGAGAGAAATGGAGAGACATGTTCTCTCCAATTTTCTCCAAAACCCCTTATGAAATTTTAGCTATAAAGTCATTTTATACCTTTATTCATTTGAGTGGCAAACTTGTAAATAGTCAAGTTCACTACCCTAAACAATGCCGGCCATTGGGATATTATGGGCTATTTATGTCCCTTGTGATCTTTATCATTAAGTTGTCATACAACCTAAGTCAATGGGCTTGACGTTGAGCCCATTGGGCCAAACGTCCAAATATCCCGAGGTCTTTTACGAACTTATTCGTTTGATTATTAACATATTAATTAACCTTGCCATTAAAATAAATGATTTAAATCCATTTTATTCTTTATAACTCAGCTCCGGTTAAACTTCAATTCTCCACTTAACAACGTGTGCGATCCATTAGAGTTCCTTTTAGGCCGAGGCAGGGGCGATTAACCATTTTATATCGATTGTGATTGAAAACATTACTTTCAATTCTCCTTATAATGATTTACCGTTACGATTTAGGGCTTTCTCTAATCTCATTCTGACCTGGCCAGATTAATAAATCATGGTTAACCTCCCTCTAACAGAAAGGTTAAACCCTTTGTTTGGGGATTACAATTGAATACGGTTAAATTTCCTTAACCCCAACGATTATTTACACCCAAATGGGGTGACTTTTGATATAAACAAAGAATAGACTTACCACAAGTTCAACTATGATGCCTGAAGAGGTCAAAGGACCTAACCCATTGCCATTATCCAACCATGAGTTCTCATGTGACATGACTCTTGAGAACTCTTTCGTTGATTCGCGTTTCAGTGAGACATTCTTCTAACCTGCACCTAACGTAGACAATATGACACGGTACCGATTTGACGGACTGGTCCAATGCCCAATTGTGCACATTCCTGTGATCTAGGAAGAATTTAAGGAATGTGTCTTTTCAATTCTATGATTGTAAACATTTTACAATCAAATCATATTCCTTGGACTTTTATCGTTTAAGCATATAACATTTATATGAGACGGCTCAAACAATAATCTTTGCCTTCTTATTTAAATAATTTTAACATGTTGTCCGTAAAGCATCATAACATGATTGGTTTTAGGCACATTTCCAACAATCTCCCACTTGCACTAGAGCCAATTACTTCCTCAAGTGATGAACCTCTTCTGTAGTATTTCATAAATGGCTGAGTAGTAGGCCTAGATAATGGATATCTATATGTTATCCATAGACAGCAACCTTTGAATATCGACGTCACCATTATACATGATTCGTCATCATGTGGGTTCAGTCTCTCATTTGAGTTCGGACCTTGATGAGAACCTTGATTCCCTGGCTTGAGCTATCGCCCCATTAGTGTCAGTAGTGTCGATACACTAGATACACTTTTTGGTTGGAACCGAAAGAGAGTTCATAAATGAAACTTTCCCATCCAAACAACATTGTTGCACACTTCTATATGGCAATATACCTTGCATTCAATAATGGAACACACTAAAGTCATTACTTTAATGTTTCCATCCAAATATCTCTTTAGTCATAATAAAGAGTATCTTGTTTATCTTTTTTATAATGAAGAAACATCCAATGATGGATTTAGATTCAAATCAATACTTTACGCTTCCATTACGTACTCTAATCTTCCTCATTCTTTGAGGAATCTTTCTTAGTATTTCTTAAATACTTAAGACTCCTTGACAGTTTCCATGGTTCACTGATCGTTGGCTTGCACTGATAATCGCTTTTCATATTAAAAACAAATCTCTTAGTTTTTATACAATCTAAAATACAAATCTTTATTAGGCATAAACTTTTATTTAACATTATTTCTTTTGAAGTTTTTCCAA